AAATATTCAATCAGGCACTACGTGAGGGAAAAGCACGCATATCTCGCATGCAGCTCACTGTCATAGGGAATGTAGGGGTCGGAAAGACCAGCCTTGTACGTTCTCTCCGTGGGGAGGAGTTTGAAGAAGAAAGAAAAGAAACTCGTGGAATTGACACTTCCATGGTCGAGAGGACAGAATTAGACGTGTCGTGGCATGCTACAGACCCGAACAAGTCTCAGGTGGATGAAATTTTAGCAGACCAAGTTTGTCTAGGAATTCAACGTTCCCCAAGGGTGAGCCATCGTTGTCACACTCAAGGGAGACAGTTGACTCGTTCTGATCAAGGACCATCCTTTTTACCAAGAGAGCAACATTCTTCTTATGTAAGGCGAATTCGTAGCATAGAAGGTCCATCCACATCAGGGGGTACTAGTGCAAGCAACGGGGAGCAGACAAGCTTAGCGACAGAGTCACCTGCCTCACTGCATAGTCTTACTCGTAAAAGGAAGTCTTCACGTGAGATGCCAATCGAAGAGATCATGCGAAGGCTTAGTCTGAGTTCGGAAGCGTCTCTGGGTGAGAGCGAAAAGAGGTACGCTAAGATCAGCATTTGGGACTTTGCTGGCCATTCGTTGTACGAAGCTATGCATCATGTTTTCCTAAACAGGCGTTCCTTTTACCTTGCTGTGCTAAATTTGACTCGGCTGTGTGACCTTAACAGTGCCAACCAAGTTCTAAAAGAGATTCATTATTGGCTAAATTCCATATGCGTGCATGCTCCTCACACGACTCCCGTGTTCCTAGTGGGAACACACAGCGGCGAGGTGAGCGAGCAAGACATGGCAACAGCAGAGAAGACGCTTTATGAAAAATTAATTGAGAAGTTTGGTCAACAGCTTGTAAAAAGCAAGGAAAACAGTTTTCTCTTTCCAGTAGAAAACACCCTTGGTGGCAAAGATCCCGGTGCAGAGGCCTTAAAGAAGGCCATCGAAAATGAAGCAACACGCCTGAGTAAAATGGATGAGGAGTTTCCTCTATCGTGGCTAGATTTTGAGGAGGTAATTCTGAAGTGCAGAGAGGACCAAGACTTCCCGCCATGTGTCCGTAAGTCCGACCTAAAACAGATGCTGGAGCGGAGTACACCCCGTAATATCGAAGATAGAGAGTTTGGAAGCATGCTACAGTTCTATCACGACAGTGGTGTAATCATCCTGCCAGGTCAGTAAAGGGTCTTATTTCTTTCTTATTGAGCATGTCTCACAAAATATCATGCAAACGATTTAATTGATACTTTTGCCAAGTTCTTGAGAGGAATCCCCCAAAAATTGCAACTGTATTTTCTGTTATGTTAAGGTCAGCCATTGTGGCGGCTAATTTATTTCCAAAAACGTAGGTTAAGTTACCCAAACCCTAAGTCATACTTTTATATTTCCCTCAGCTCGACTAGAATAATAATTTAGAATTTATTTTCAGAAGAGCTAATTGGACCGAAGACACACCACTCTGACTTAAACGATGTAGTGGTAGTCAATCCACAGTATCTCGTTGACGTCATGACCCGCCTACACGATATTTCCGACCACCTGAATATTGATCGTGAACATCAGAGTCAGTGGGAGATGCTGCAAGAGCAAGGAGTAGCCAACTTCAAACTTTTGGAGTATCTTTGGAAAGACTTCAAAAGCCCTGCCACTCAGCTTGTTGGTATCTTGGAAGCTTGTGGTATGCTGTGCCCAATCTCTTCTTCTGTAGAGGATGAAGACCGTGAAGACGGTACTAAACCAGTTAAAGGTGATGAGAATGAATCAGAGATCAGCAAATACATCGTACCATTTCATCTAAAGGATAAATGCTTGAAAGGAAAGTGGAATAAGCTTTGTCGGAAAAGATGGACTGAAATTTGTACCTCGGACAAAGTTTTAATGTTTGATTTCCGTAGTTTCCTGCCTCCTGCACTCTTTCACTACTTCATTGTTCGCACTGGCTCTAGAAGCCAATCCAGTAATGGTATGAGACCGATCATAGCCAAAAGGATGGCTATATTCTCATTTGGAGACAGTTTCTTCATTCTTACAGAGATGTGTCAGAAACACAACCAAATTCGAATTAGGGCCCGGTAAGTGCTCTTTTCAACTTGATGGAGGTGGATCCCTAATACCCTATTTAGGACTAATATCCCATCCAGTAGGAAAAGTATTACTTTTAGTCTCCAACCTTACAGCATCATCTCTAGTATTTGAGAGCGTTAGTGTCGTATGAAGACTTTTAATTTGACGAATTGTTCTAATTAACAGGGTGGTGGCATAATAAGTTCTTCTGTGTCATGTTCATTTGCATCATTTAATCATTCTCTTGAGGACGTTTTCTGTTTCAATATCAGATCTCGGGAAATATGAGTTTTTTGCTAAACTTATCGATGTTAGAAAAGGTCTCCTTCAATCTAAGCCACCGGGATAAATGGTAGTTCCTGGTGTCTAATTCTGTCTTCTTTCATTTCTCCTACAGGCACAAAAATACCAAAAAGCCTCATGAGTTGTTTAACATCTTGATGTCGATAATGACAGACATCTGCCAGCGCCAGTTCCGATTTCTCAAGTTCAGTTTCGGACCTACCTGTCCCAACCCACGTTGCCCCGGGTCATCGAGTGAAGGTATAGTTCTTCCAGTGGACACCTCTTCTGACGAAAGTGATGATGGCGACGATGATGAGGCCGAGTGTGGTGAGCGGGAGTCCTCCGTCGACTCCTCAAGCGAAAGTGTTCGTCATCACGTAATTTACATAGACCCGGCTGTCGCAACCAGGCCTTTGTGGTGTAACTCCACACCAGTCCATGAATTCGAAGAAATCAAGCAGTGGCTTGTTAAGGCAAGGCAATGTTTAAAAAGAAATGCTCCGTTGAATTCTTCTTCCTGAAGCTATCCTTGTTGATACCTACTGATCGCTGTTGTAGCCCTAAAGTTTATTCTTTTTCTTTCCTTAGCCACAAAATACCGTTTCCAAGGTCCCAGAGGACTCTCCTTGTTATTCAAGTAAGTCAATACCTTACTGAGACCAAGTGCTTCTCTTACGTATGCTTCACTCCTGCTTGCGTGCCAAGTTGATTTCGTAAATGCAACCTTAATTCAAAATATCAGGGGTCCCTATTGTGCCTCTGCCGATTTTTGTTTGAATTTTTTTTTTTATTTCTGTTACCCAGAACCTGTTAAGTCTTGCTGCCTTGCTTTAGTCGCTAAAGAACTGGCTTATAAATGGAAATGGATTGGAAGGTCTCTCTCGGTAGAAGACACAGTCATTGAGACTATTCAGACTGAAAATCATTCAGAGGAAGAGAGAGCTTATCAAGTCCTCACCCGATGGAGTCGAGCCACGGGATCCAAAGGTACCGTACATGAGCTAATGAAAGCGATCCAAGAAATTGGCGACGTTCCACCTTTGGAGGCATTTGATCGACACCTTGGAGATCGTCATGTCCAGGCAGCTAAGCCTATTAACTAGTTATTCCGCTGCACTCTCGAAGGAATTCGAAATATTAATTGAATTTTTTAAAAATGGAGTCGTAAATAAGGCCGTTCGTCTTTTTTTTCTCGGTTTTGTTGGTAAGCACGTGCCAACAAATCTTACGTAAATAAATTATTCTTGTGCTCGAAAATTTTGAAATTAACTCTTCAATAAGACCAAGCTAATTTTATGTCAGTGCCAGGTTGTAAGTACTCACATGAGTAAAACTGATACGGTTGAAATAGAATTTTCAATTCAAATTGTTTGATTTTGCTAACAACAGTGCTTTAATTTCAACTTCCTTGGACCTTTTGGCGCTCAATTTGAACTTTTGTCTCGGTGCACAATCAGTTGACTTACTCTTAGCCGATGGGCATGCTTAATTCCTTTTTTATTTACATGCATATTTTAATCAAATAAAATATTGCGGTTAATTATCGCAGCGAATGCATCAGTAATGAAGAATACTCGTTCTCATTTTCCCACCATGCATGTTCATTCAGGGAATGAACATGCATGGAGTTGACAAGGTTGGCAAATTTGATAGTAGGCTGGTGATAGTTTACATAATAACGTACATGAAAAAATAACGCGCTTCAGATTGGCTGGAAATGAGTGCATTCTCGTGTAACGCGAATACAAAGTTGTAACATGAGTGCAAATTACAAATAGCGCGCGCGCCCTTGCAAAATTTCGTCTGTCTTGACTTTCTACGATGTTTTTTCATGTACATTAATTATTAACAGGTAATAATATGATTTCGAGTACAATTTGGTGTAATAAGAACTTGTAAATTTTTCAAAGACTACAAAATTGCACTTGCCTTACGTGCTTATGCAATTTTGATATCTTTGAAAAAATTAACTCGTGCTTATTACACCAAATTGCACTCGAAATCATGTTATTACCCATACTAAATCTTATATGAGGCGTGCTCTCAATAGACACAATGATGAACATAAAACTGAACCCAAAACAAAAATGAAGTAAAGGAAAGAGAAGGCAGAGTTCGAGATTTTATCTGTTCGAAGAAAGAAGACTTTATTTCTGTATGAAATAATCTTTAAAGGAAAATTCAAGAACAAAAATTACATAGAAATGGTATTTCTATCAAATCAGAGGAATAGTGCAGTGTATTTCAAGGTATAATTTTAATACAACCATTTCGATCTTAATTTTACACGTGGCATGATTGGGTAGTTAATTTAGCCCTGGAAATTCAAACTTTCAGTAAGGTGAAGATAGGATATGGTATGTCCAACTTAGCGTGTTCCTCTAAATAGTATTTTTTTGTTCGGGCTATATGACCCTATGTAGAAAGGGTCAAACAGCCCTTCCCCCACCTGGCATTCGTCATCAGACTGGGTAATGAACAATTACAAAACATATTTTAATTTTAGGACCGATATTGTGGAATTCATTATTGGTAATGAGTTGTAATCGGACATGCCACGTGAAATCTTTACCTTGCGGAAGGTTTGCAATTGCAAAATTCACTATACGACCAAGGCCGCGTACAAAATTAAAATCGAAATAGTTTTATTGTAAAATGAAATAAAAAAAAACAATTATACCAACAAATTATTATAGAGTGGCCTACGTTTAGTATCTTTAACAAAGGACCTCTTAGGAACCTGTTATTAAGGACCTGTCAGGGACCTCTTGTTATTTATCGCCTGGGAGGAGGGGGGGTGGGAGAATTTTGTTTGAATCACGATAAAGTCTACCTGATCCCCCAATAAGGCTGCTTTACATTCTATTGATCCCCCAATCACTGGCTGTCAATTCTCTATAGTCCCCCTTTTCATTCGACGATCCCGCTCCCCCCTCCGTTCTCATTGAAAGCCATGTAATACCCCAAAAATCCTCCGACATCCCCCAACCCCTCCCGGAGAGAAATAATAACTGGTCCCCCTACCATTCATTTCCGAATATGTCTTAAAAGTATGTTTCGCGATTTATCTTTTTTTTTATGTTTTCATTTTTTCATTAAGTATAAATTTGTACCTAGGCTCTGTCGTAGATCAAAAGTAGTTGAATTTCTTATTTTATGAATACATTGTCTGAAAAGCTACATTGTGTTCTGAATGCATGAAATATCTTTCACAGTGGTGATGCTCCCCTTACTAGTTTTGAATAGCATCCCAGTGCTCTGCGAAAAAAATTTAGTCTTTAAATTATTCTGAACAGATGTTATCCGCCGACTTTTTGGCAATCTATTGTTTCGAGAGAATACTTTGATTGTTTCCAAATCGGCTGATTGTCTTGCAAAGATTACTCATAAGTGTATAGGAATCGAAGCATCGGCCAGGCTACAAAATTTAAATATCTTACGCCAATTTGTATGCAACGAAGTTACGCAGAAAAACCACTGACCGTTAGCCAGTCGATTCTTACCTTTAGAGCTGGAGACAACACCAAAATATCTGTTTGATGGCATATGGCGATGTGTCCCAGAATGTGTTGGAAATTATTTTTGTTAGCTGAAGGTAGGTGAATAACAAGACGGCATGTCTGCTCCTGTTTTATTATAGGGATTTCTTTGTATCTTCAGCAACTCGCAGTGTTTTCCTGTATAACTGCTACCTCATGATATAGATTCTGCAAAGTCGTTTACAAATTGATTTAAGCGTGGAAGGAAAGGACTTCCTTAGGCATAATCCAGGTCCTGTACAGAGACTGAACGGTGGCTAAGTAAGTCTGAGGTAAATATAGGACTCGCTTGATGATTTCTCAAAGATTCCCGAAAAATTTTGAATTTGGATTAGACCATGAAAAATGTAGAAGCTAATTTTTGAAATTATTTTAATGGTTGTTCGTTGTAAAAGACATTTGAATACACAAGGAAATTTTGTCGTATTCAATTTTTTTTCGGATATTACACCGTTCTGGAAAATCCCCTCGGTTCAACTTTTAAAAATCGGCCCCATAATCTCATGGGGAAAAGTTTTTGACAGGTTCAGAACATTTACAAACTATCATTATTACCTTTTTTAAGTCAGTGAACCTAGGAAGAATTTATTTTTAGCTTAAAGCATAAATTGTTTATTGAAATTTTCCAGCCCACTCATTGTCGGATCACTAATGTCATCGAGTCAGTTTTGAAGGATAGCAAACTTCAATAACAGATGTCATAATTATAATGTGTAGGCCCGCTGAGTATACGTATATTGAATGTCAAAACAATCCTGCTTTTAAGTTTGACCTGTTTGCAGGTGTCGAGATACATCTGAATATTCTGTGCAGCCATAAAACATGAAGAAGAAATCCAGCTATTACTTTAAGGGATTTCGAAATGACTAGTTGAAACAAAGAGATGATTGGGCAAATTAGTGTTGCAAAAGTCGACGGCTCAAAAGACCGCGGATTTGGTTTAATTAGTCACTTGTAAGTCTTGTTTTTGCCAAACAAACATGTTTTAAAACATGCTGAGGGGCAGTGAAAATTCGAAATTGCTGTAGGAAATTCATCCAATGTTACGGTTTATCATCTGTTACAATCTGTAGCCAGGTACTAAGCAAATTCCGTGTAAATCGCTCTAATTGCACTTAGAATGCCTCGCAGCTTCACCATAAATCGTGAATGGAGGCTCAGTGAATGATCTCCAATTAAGCTTTCAACGTTTTTCCTGCGTAATGGAATATCATTAGACTACGGCTGGTGGTCTAGTAGAGTTTTATAACCTGCGGACTCAGGTTAAACCCGTGCGCTAATAAGTGTTCCAACCAATTGCTTTGCACGAACTGTGTTACTTAAGTCAATGCAACGCAGAAAGTCACATTTATCCGGGTATCAAACACTTTTTTTTCAGTTTTACCAGTTTTAACACAAGGCCGTCAAAATCAAAGCGATGTATCACACATAAAAACATCAATATCACCATCTCCAACAATAACGGCGCCAACGTCATCAATCGCATCGCCAATTAAAGACGACGAAGATTTAAACGCAAACCGAGAAGGAAACATTGTAAGTCCACGTGAGTTTAAAGGGCGATTTGCAATCACAAACATCGATTACAAACCCCAATATGCAAATGTCAAAAGTGACGAGTACAAAACTCTCAAAGACTCTCTCGAGAAAGCATTAGACAGCTCGTTAGAAAATACTGTTCCTGGTTATATCATGTGTGCAGTGCGCTGGTTCTATAAAGGAAGTGTGATCACAGACTTTGTTGTGTTTGTGAATGGAAATGAAAATGTCTCCCCTGAAGAGTTACAAAAGGCGATTGTCTCAGCTTCGTCCACGGGTTCGCTGGCAAATTTTAAGTTGAAGAATGTTGTTATAGAGTCACCGCAGGACCAAAGAAGTGGAGAAAATGAGGACAACAAAGGGTCTATGATCATGATCGAGCTGTGGATGATAATTACTTTCGGTGGTATAGTGATTGTTATTGTTCTTCTCTTCTTCATTCTTGGTCTTTTGGTAAGTAAAGGATGAGAGAGATCGATAATTTTTTTTTATCAGCGTTTATTATAATAATGTATCAACCCTTTTACTCCATGATCTCATAAATAATTCTCCTTACTGCCTGCCTTACAGCTCTTATGATATTAGTTTAGAGAATTTGATATTAGATGCACAACCTAATCGACCCAATCCGGATAAATTGGCTCCTGGATATGGAATTTTTCGACAGGGCTCTCCAAAGTGGATGGATACGGAAGCGCTGACTTTGCGTCTAAAAGTGAGAGGAAAGCACTTTGAAAAAAATTTTTTTAAACTTTCTTCTGTCCCTTTAATTTTTTGGTGTGAAAATTACGCCTATATCATACAAACTATCAAGGGTGTATCAAAACGATTCTGCCTCCGTTGTATGCAGTGTAGATTGGTTGTATGGACGCAAGGTCTGATACAACAGCACGAAAGCAATAATTTTCGTTCCACTTGTTATAATGTCATTTTATGATACCCAGCCAATTTCGTTGCGACAACGCCTCTAAAATCCTCATCACTACCACTTCGATCTTTGAACAAACTTGTTTTAGATAAGAAACAGATTGTTAAAGAAAGCCCTAACTCAAGAGAGACGTGTCACTGAAGACCTAAGACACCAACAACAGTTGCAGCAAGAGGGGACAAGGGAAACGTTGTCCATTGTGGCTGCGTCATCTACTGATGAACTTACGACCATGCTTGATAGCAAAAAGGAAGTAAAGGTGCAGTAACCTTTATCCGTGTGATTTTTGTCCCTAAAGAAGGAGTGACACATTCCTTGCCCTGGTGCTAGCATTCCTTTGTGTGCCTTCTGGTGGCCCCGCCTTCTCAAGAAACAGTACATTAAGGAAATTAGTTTTCTTCCGTTCTGGGCATGCTAAAGTATGGGAATAAGTCTTAAGGCGGAGAGGAAAAATGAGTATAAAACTGTACCAAAGCATTCGTGATCTTCTCAAGTACTTTGGATTTCAAAGGAATTACAAGATAATAAACCATTTTTTCCCGAGACCTGATAATCACGCTTCATAAAATGAGGAGCAAAATATTGCATGTAGTAAAGTAACAAAAGTGTGTATTGCTCCCTTAATAATTTTATCCTAATCCCCGAGCGGTTTGTCGTTAATCATCAGAAATACCAGAGTCGATCATTTTCCATCGGCACCTCAAGGTCAGCGGAAAGACTCATGGAGCTCTTGAAAGATTCTGATCAGGTGAAAACTGCCACAGGCGAACGAGCAGAACATAAGTCATCTACAGTTTTTTCAGGATCGGCAACTGTTCCCAGTGTCATATCAAACGTTTCAGCCCATGAGGTATGTAAAGTTCATATCATTCGTAGGGCTGGACTAGTAGGACTCTAACCCCTTAAAGTGACTTGAGTTCTAATTTCTCCTCACAGTATCACTGTTGAATCAAATGTAAAGGTCATGAGAATAAAGTAACTGATCTCTAATTGAGGAAGCTCCTGTTTGTCGAACAAATTCTCCTCGTCAGTGCCATTGGGACGTAAACAGAATAGTGTGGAGAAAATGCATATTGATGTTAGGGTGCAGGGGGTTAATGAAAGGTTTTCTTTCTTTTTTTGTCACTATCTTTCACCTTTATTTACTGGTAGAATGCTTATGTTCTAAAAGGTTGTTGTATGTCTCATGCCAAAACGGGCTTTCTCGCAGTATTTATGGAAGTTTTCCATCCTAAACTTGCGCCTTCGTTGTATAAGTTCCCGGACTCAGTCAATTGGTACATCACTCGAGTTTCATGACGTGATAACTTGATTTCAAAGATTCGATCCTTTATTACTCGTTTCATTTTATCTTTTGTTGTAAATTATTTTTTGCGCCATTTTTTCAGGGTGAATTCAGCACTTCAAGCTCCCTAATTGATGACGTCACGATGTCAGGAGACCACACCCATCTAAGAAAGGTTCCTTTTGCAATGAGCAAACCGTTAATTTTCATCAGCCCTCCCAAGGAAAACACAGTGTCGACTGCTAAAGAGGTAAAATAAATGTTACGAGTTAGACTAAACTAGTTTTTTACCGTCCCAAGTTGGTCCCAAAATCAAACCAAATGCAACGGGTCTAAAACTATAGATTAAAATATCTGTTCTTAGGTGGGATGTGGAAAGGAATGATTCAACTGTGATAAGGGTCCTGAATCACGACTGTCATTATGTTGTGTTCTTGGGAGAAGCACTTTACTATTTACGCTAAGCCTTTAACCCTTTACACACCAACCTAATTGTGCTTATTCTCCATGAAACATTCATCAGCTATGAAACTGTAGAGAGATATTGAATGAAAGTCACTAGTAAGGGTTAAAAACTTAATGCGTACCTGCAATTTGCCAAGAACAACTTGACAAAACACTAAAATTAAGTCAAGAAGAGTAACAGCGCCTTTTGAAACTTCATATTACAGTACCGAGAAAAACTAGGCAGCTATGCGAGATCAGTCTAAAAACCCTTTCAATCCCAAGATCTCATTGGTAATTCTCCTTACTGTCTGCCATACAATTCTTGTGATGTTAGTTCTGAGAATTTGGTATTGAGTCAACTAATAATCCCCCAACTTATATTACTATTTATTCTCAACACTTGTCTATTTGATATTGTATTGATTTGGTAAGGAGAAATTTTGTCTTGGTCACTCATGGGAGTTAAAGGTTAAGCAGACTTTTTTTTATATATTTTCGTAGGATTGGCCTCAGGATGAAGAAACTCAGAAAGAAAGCGATGAATCTGGATTTACCAAATTAAAATATACTCCGGCGATACTTCAGCAGGTACAAGCGTTTGAACAAGGAACTATCAACACAAGCGACGAAGAAGAAAATGATAAAAACAAACTAATGAGAAGCGAGCCCAAAAAGCTGAGACATATTTCACTCAGCGCTACTGCATCACAACAAATGAAAATTTCCGAAGAGCGACGACGGAGAGAGCATGAGATTCGACCTTTAGGTGGAGTGATCAAGGTAGGTCTTCCTGCTTCCTAATCAGAAGTGGATATGAAAGGGGTTACGGTGCTGATACAATCACATTGGCCACGCTTAAAAATCCTATACCTTTA